AGTTTATGAAGCCAAACGTAGGATACTCTGAGGCTATCAGTATACTGCATCAAAGATTCGAAAGAACTTCGATGATTGTAGGGAACGTATTCGAAACTGTTAAGGGTAATGCTGGTCAATTACAAGATGACTCCAAGGCACTTACTGAGTTTTTAGATAATCTTATGACTTATAAGAATACCTTGATTTCGATGAATTGCATGAGTGACCTCAACTCGAGTTTTATACTAGAAGTAATAGAGAGACGCCTACCTACTCGACTGCAACGGAAGTGGGTGAAGATAAGCTCCCGTATGGAGGATGAGGGTATCGAGCCAAAGTTTGATGATATCCTGAAACTAGTAAAAGATAGCGTCAATCTATCTATGAGCAAGTTTGCCAGTCTATTCTTCCTGTTTATTGCATCTAACCCCTAGAATAGAGCAGTCAGAGAGCAAAATGCAATCAATGATGACGAAAGGGTCTCAGAGAGGTGGATATCGAGAAGGCTGTATGGTGTCTTGTAATCCACATAAACTTAGTGTGTGTAACAGCTTTCGTGGGACATCCTCAACAGATAAGTTACAAGATTCGAGACAAACATGGTTGTGTTTTACACGTTTGCAAGAAGTGCGTACAAAGGGGAATTGTGAACCAGTGAGCAAGTTCAGTGATAAGCTAAATGTAAACTCCAGGTCTGACTCCGAATTGTGTGACGATAACGGTGCGGTGAAGAAGTCTGTAGTTGCAGCTGGTAAGCCATTGTTGAATAGAGTGTCACAGAATAGAGTTATTGCTTCAGAGTGCAGTTCTGACTCCACAAGTTTACAAGGTATTACTAGTCAGAGTGAAGTTATAAAAGCTTTTAGGATTTGCGAGGAGGAACCAAAATTGTCTACTTCTGTTATTAAAGAGTTTGAAAATGATAAAGTTGACGGTAAAGTGAATATTCGTGATAATGATCATGATACTTCACATTTGTCTTTGGTTGGTCATGATGAGACGAGGGGAATGCCTACTACTGCTAAGTTGAACAAAGGTTCTGTACAACTAGAACGTGAAGTAAAATCAAATGCAGTCGAAGAAGGTATGGATACTTGTGAGACCGTCAGTGTAATTGATCAACGTGTAGCCCACCTATCATCAGATGCCAGTGCTAAACCCGAACTAATAGTAAAAGACAGCAGTGGTGGTAGTCTTGCTGTTAGACAACTTTCTAAAAGCCGAACAACAACAGCTTCTGATCCACCGCTAACTTCATCAACTGGTATTAATCAGTTGTCGTTGGTGTTGTCATCCACAAGGAAGAAGACGCCCATCAACTCAAGTATCTTGTACAATGACTATAATAGAATTGGTGCATTTGAAAAGACGAAAGATATTGCTCAGTTTAGTGAGGATAAGCCAAGTGTAAACGAGAGAGTAATTGTTAAATTGACTTGCACGAATAAAGGCATTTCTAGTTTCAAGTTACTATTTGAATGTTATTATCTTTGGCGTAAATTACTCTGTGCCTACGCTTGGTTGACCAGATACGTCGTGTGTTTGTTAGTCATCTATATTCGACGATACAATGACATGGGCGTGTTACCGTTCAGATTTGAGGATATAGCTTATAGAAGGAAGTCAGCAAATGAACTCTTCGACGATTTTCCAACCTAGAGCGTCAACCTGAGAAGGGTTGTAGGCGTACTGCTGTAAGTCCTACAATTCTTCAGAGGGTAGCGCATCAATGAGCAATCCAATGTGCTCGGTGTGTGATTTTGTACGTTAGATCATATTTTATATACTGAATTGATATCATCTGTCATCTAGCTGTTGGTAATTCTGTTTGTGTCCGGACATTGCACAAATGTGTGTGCTGTGTGAGATGTGTGAGATTGTGCTGTGGGTATGCTTGTGGTGTGTTGGCTTTTCTGTTTGTTTTCCATTTCAACTCTGTCCATGTGACCCAGGTTCTTGCAATGGCATCCAAGTCAACGTGTATTGGTCGTGATGGGAAAAAGGGATGGATCCTTTTTTGCCGGGGAGTGTCAATGTAGTTGAAGACTGAACGATCGATTCATGGTTGTTTGCTCGAAACCAACTTCCCCAATTTTCGCGGAGGCATCAATACGACATTCATCGTCTCATCGGTCGCTGTTCGGAAAGAAGTCAGCAGTAAACCGTCAGAAGTAATATTGTGATTTATTATTGTAATATTTGTTCCTAGACCTTAGTTCATTTTGCTGGTCATATGTTTGTGTTATAATAAATAATTCTCGAATCGCCAATCTGTGTTCTGGTTTTTGCGTCCGTAAGTACTAAGCGTTTCTGAAAGGCTTTGAGCGACAGCGTGAGGCTCGGCGTAGCAAGAGCTGGGCATTAACAGTTTTCGATACGTGATTGACAATAGCTTTTGGAAAAATTGATGAAAATGGAGAATTCGTCGCTAACCTCTCCGGCTTAATGGACTGGTGATCGGTAGCAGCTTATACAAGCACTAGTTCACCCAGAAGTCTATATGGGTGTCACCAGATTGGCTAATCGATAACCAAAGTGCCCTCGTTTGAATGTTGCTCAGGGAATTTGAGACGCAGCCCACTGGACGCAAAACTAAAAAGAGGAGCAGAGAGAAGAGACACGACATATAGTGGCTCACTACGGACACATGGAGAAATAAAGAAGGAAGAAGGATGTTGAATGTTGCTTGCAGCTTGTTCTGTAGGCAACATTCTACCAAACAACTGGGTTTGTATCGGGGCAAGCCCAACACCAGACCAGACAGAATCCCAGTAGAAGCATAAAAATGCACCCACAGACGTAGGCGGACTTGATGACACTGCTGGAGGTGTGGAAAGAGAGTAAGGTACCTGAGGATTAGAAGGAAGGCCATTTGTTCAAACTGCCAAAGAAAGGGTACTTAAGTCGATGCAAGAACTGGTGCGGAGTTAGGCTTCTGTCCACCCTAAGCAAAATACTAAGCCGCATAATCTTGGAGAGAATCAAAAATGCACTGAATGAAAAACTTCGACCGGAACAGACAAGATTCAGGAGGAACAAGTCATGCATAGATCAAAGCACAACACTATGGATCATCATTGAATAGAGCATGGAATAGCAGTCACCTCTCTATCTCAACTTCATCGTATTTGAAAAGGCCTTCGACAGCGTCGATCGAGAGGTGATTTGGAAACTCCTTCACTAGTACGGGGTGCCACCAAAAATTATACATGCCATCCAACAGCTGTGCGGCAATGCTGCAAGTCAAGTAATCCACAACGGGAAACTTACGGAATCCTTCGAAGAAGTGGAGATGGGAGTGAGGCAAGCTGGTTGCCTACTATCACTCATGATTTTCCTAATTGTGTTGGACTGGATAATATGACAGACAGCGGCGGGTAGCGAGAAAACAGGCATAAAATGGACCCAGACAAAAAACTTGGAGGATCTGGACTTCGCCGATGAACACCCCCAAACTGGAAGATATGCAAGTGAAAATCAACAATTTGGCAGAAGAATCATCCAGAGAAGATAGGACTCCAAGTAAACAGAGAGAAAACAGGTGATGAAGATTCCTAGGCAACACCGACAGCAACAGCAACAACAAGAATAACAGAGAACAGTCAGCCACCTCCTATCCGTCTACCTGGGAAGCATCGTTTCAACTATAGGCAGAAAGAACTGACGAGGATATCAAAGCAGCGAGGATCGGGAAAGCAAGACAAGCTTTCATTACTCTCAAGTCTGTGTGGAGGTCAACAGACAGCAATTAGCATGAAATTGAAAATAAGATCCGGATTTTCATCTCCAATGTGAAGTCAATGCTACTATACAAATCGTGTGCGTGGGCCAGGCCTCGTCACGATGGGCACTTCGAACAAATGACAGACCTTCACCAACAGCTAGCGGTCTTCGCTTAGTACTCAAGATCAGATGACAGGCGAGAAGAGATCAGCAGCGTGGAATGATCTCTGGGAGCGAGTCAACCCAGCAGGAACCAACTGCGCAAGAAACATGCAGGAAGAAATGGAGGTGGATTGGCCATGCTCTGAGAAAGTCATCAAGTGAGTGACATTACACATAAGGCTCTTGAGTGAGACCTCAATGAGAAGAGGCGAGTTGGTGGTCAGTGCGGTGGTGACATGGAGGATTTCATGTGAAGAGAAAACGTGAAGCCAAGTGAAAAGGCTGGCAGAGAACCTAAGGCAATGTAGGCGTGTGGCTGAAGCCCTATGATTCTCTAGGAACTAAGGGAAACAATAATAGTAATAGTTCCTATGTTCAAGTATTGGCAGACAAATACATTTTAATTGACCCGAACAAAGACGCGGATACTTATTTTTTGCCATTTTATCGCTTTTTCCGGAGACTTCCAGCACTAAAATTTGACTATTCTGGGCGTTGCTATTTTCTTCCAATATTTCCGCCCAAACAGCACTCAATTCACGAACCTACTTGATCGTCCTCACTTCCACTTATGCTTATTTTGATTAGTTTTGGTGAATAAACCAAATTAAACCACAGTAAATACCGCAACTGAGCTCGCTGATTTTGAGAAATAGATAAGGATTACGAGTAATAAATGGCAAAATCTGTTAGGGATGATAGTCTCTGACCATTGTGCTCTAAAGTCTGTTTAAAATTTTATTTTGTTCCTTGATCTACCCGGAAACTGAAGTCCTCCCGGAAAGCCAGTCCCTCTATCAAGTTTCTCACGCATATGTTTATTTTATCAACTCGAATTTACCCGCTATTCACGCTGCAACCAAAATACCCTATCTTCCTTACACCTGGTTAAGTAAATCCAGACTAGGAAGGAGAATTGGGTTTATTTATACTATTTTTAACCCTTGATAGTCATTGAGGATCATGTACTAGGCTGATTTCTGTAGCATAAGTTCGCCCAGAATGTTGATGTAACTGAAATCCATGAATTCGACAGTAGATAGCGGAAATATTTACTAGCTTAACACAGTGAAATCCAAATTACCTTCACTAGAAAAGTGAAAATGCAATGTGTTTCCTAAGCACTTAGATGACCTCACTTCTGATGAATGTTCAAACCTACGGCATATAAATATGAAGAACACTTTATTGAAACTATTAACTTGACCTCTTGTTTTAATATAGCAGTGATTTGTTGTCCAATGCGCGGTGATAATTTGAGTTCAGCGTTGTAAGTCAGGAAATAAAGCATGTTTAAATCTTTTTAGTGATATTTGATTACGCCTTATTACTCATGAATATGTACACAAAATAGATTGTTTCAGCTTCTTTTGAAGGAGTTAATGAATGAAGTAAAACTTGCTACTGTGATAAGAAAGGAAATTTATTATATGATAAAGTTCCATTCTTATGTTCATTGCATCGTTCGCTTTGCTGAAATTTTAACTATTCTTCAGAAAAATTGTTTCGCGAAGTTTAAGGAAACTCTTAATGACTAGTAGGAGTGGTTAATGCGTTTATATGTCTTCGTTCCTTAAAAAGAGACATAAAAATTGAGATGGGAACTTCAGCTCATTAATAACAATTGGCCGATCAAAATTACCCATTTAGCCCACGTTTTGGCCACATTGCCCAGTTGCATTAACCGACTGGGTTGTTGGTCCCAAGTTCTGGAACAGTTTATACCCATGATGTTATTAAAATCGATCAGGAAAAGTTTAGAGGGACGTGAAGATTTATCAAAAATTGAAATATCTCCCTACCTTTCCACCTCCATCTATTTATTTGAGTATACGAAAATATATGCTTCTCCTCGATTTCTCCAAATTACCCACTTTATTTTCTTTTTTGCTCTCTCACTCTTTTAAATCTCCTGCCTAACCTTTGTCACAAAATGCTTTTTGGTAAACTTTGCTGCATATTACGGTTATCAGCCATCATGATGACAGTCACTTATTTCACAAAGTGTTTTCAATGCTATTGTATTTTTTAACTTTTCAATATACTTAAAAAATTCACTGGATAGATGTATCTGTAAGAGGAACAAATACAAGACGTAAACAGTGTTAACAATTGTTTTTGTCGACACTACTGAAGTGATTTTAATATAGTAATGTCTATTGAATAGTTAACTGTAAACCGGTATGATTTAGCCGTATTTTCAGATTATTTTTTATCACATAAAACCCGTCGTATATAAGGTATGATTGTAATTTTGTGTTTATATCGGCGGACACTTAACTTTAGAACTTCTGAAGATACTTAATAGGACATTTATGAGTAATCAGAATGTTCTCTATCTGATGAAGTGACGTTTTTACAAATACTAGCTTAAATTTAGACATCTACCAACGATAGTATCAATAATTCTGGTCAGAATCACCCTATGCTTATATCCTTCGAACCCAAGTGTATTGCAGCATCTCCTTTACAAAGTGCCGATGAGCTTAAAAGCTAACAGTAAACGATGTGTGTCAGCTTTTTTATATAATAAACAAAACATTTCAAAAGTAAAAAAACCAACAACATAAGATGACTAACAAAATAGAGAAGAAAATACTGAAAAAATAGATAATATTTCAACTATTCTGCACAAAGATGTTGTTTCTATGGAGTTGGGTTTTGATACACACCTCAAACTGAAACTAACAGTTTGATGTTCAGGTGGATTTAGTTCAAGACTGTTGGCCAACCCTGTCAATGTAGTATCTGTTAAATGCTGCTGTTGGAAGACAGAAAATCACCTTGTCAGTATACTTCAAGAAATTAGCGTAGCAAGTGGAGATATTCTAAATGAAGCGGACGGCGAATTGAGGTATTCCGACTTTGAAATATAAGAGGAAATAAAAGTCAAATTATCTTGTTAGTTTAAACTTAATGTATTTATTTCGTCTTTCACATGATTATTTAGACTGTCTGCTTGATCAAAACTTGCTGCATATGAACTCTTTTGAAGACGTTCTCCTTTTGTCTCACTCTAAAATCCATTCAAGCAGTGATTTGAAAGTGCATGCTTCTTTGAACTTTAACGATACCAAATCGCCTTCAGATTTCCACAGAGTTACTGGAAAATACCATTTCCCCAGCTCACGTTAACATTTTATCTTGCTGTACATTATAAGTTGTCCTGACTATATGTTTTTCACTTCTCCCAACCTTAACGGCAAGTAAAACATGTGAATTTATCCACTGGTTTCAACACAGAACTTTGCATAGATGTGCAGCCGTTCGAGTTACCACACACTCCCTTCATGTAGCATACAAAGTACAAGAAGAGAGTAAGGCGAAATTCAAGAAAGAGAGACAGTAAAAAAGAAGTGTGAGGGAAAAAGAATAGTAATATGGAGAACAGTAGAGTTCCGTTGGATATGATAAATCAAAGAGTGAATGTATTTGCTCCACTGAGATTGATTTTGATCCATATCATCAATTATCTTTAGCCTTCATTGATTTCAGTATTCCCAAGGACTCCAACCAGGAAGCCAGTCTTACCTCCCAACGTGATTAGTTTAACGAACTTTTGTGGATTTCATTGACTGATGATGAAGCTATCTTTTAGTTAGACCACCATTAGGTGTTTTCCTACCTGGCATAAATGGGAGGAACCTGAAAGAAACAACCTCCTTCACCTAACTAACTAACTACCTACCTACCTACCTACCTGGGAAGCATCGTTTAAACTACAGGCCAACGGAACTGACGAGGATGTCAAAGCAGAGAGGATCGGTAAAGCAAAGCAAACTTCCATTTCTCTCAAGTCTCCGTGGAGGTCAACAGCACTCAGCATCAAAAATAAGATCCAAATTTTCAACTCCAATGTGAAGTCAGTCAGTGCTACTCACTATGAGGATCACAGACTTGGCCAGTGCGTAATAAAGATCACCTCAAACAAACTACAGAACTTCAACAGCTAGCTGTCTTCGCTCGATACCACTCAAGATCAGATGGCCGGCCAGAAAAGATCAGCAGCAAGGTGGGATCTCTGACAATGAGCGAACCAACACAGCAGGAACCGATTGTGCAACAAACAGACAGGAAGAAATGGAGATGGAATGGCCATACTCTGAGGAAACCATCAAGTGAGTGACATCACTAGACAAACCATTGCTCGAGTGGAACCCGACAGAATAGGAAGCGGTGGGTCGGTCGTCAGTGCGAGGGTGGGATGACTTGGAGGAGGTCATGTGAAGAGGAGATGAAAACGTGTGAGCAAACTTGGAGTCAGGTGAAAGCACTAGCAAAGAACCGAACGCAATGGAGACGTGGGCCTGAAGCCCTATGTTCCTCTAGGAATCAAAGGAAATAATAATAATAAAAATCTGTCAGTCATCTAACATTGCCTGATATCGAGGAAGGTGATGAATGGTAAGGTATGCGTAACACATGTCGTAACCATCTCAGTCGATGTAACTGCTTCTCGGCCTCGTTGATTGATTTCCTCTTCTCCTTACCTAACACTCAACTAATGCCTAACCTCGATATTAATCACCATTTTATACCATTTTAGACGGGAGATAGAACGTGAAGTTTACTTGCAATCTATTTACGTATCCTTATAGTTTTGCAGGGTATTTGCATTTCTATTTAAGTTTGTTGTAAAAATGCTAAAACGATTTCTACCTATTACATATTACAGGTAGCTGTCAGGTGGGAATGTTGTCTCTTGCCATCGCTTCTGCAGCCACTGTAGCCACTGGTGTTTACTTTTACAAACGGAAATCCTGCAAAGTCGACTTTCCTCTTGACTGTCATTTGCACGAACAATCTGTTGTTGTTAGCGATGACGTAAGTACTTTAATGTACACCAACATTTTATGTATATGATCAACAGTTTTTTTTCAAGTTTTCAATTTAGTGATCTCAGTGAAGCCTGTAACGCTTAATATGTGTTCATTTATTGAACTTGTGTGATTAAATCTGTTGATGCTTTCCCACTTAGTCATTATTAGATTGTAAGCTTGCGGCTACGCTTTGTCGTAACTTTGATTTTTGTTATGACTGACTGTTTGTCTGTTTTCGACATAGAACCACTTTGTACCGATGTGAACCAGTTCAAGCCGCCACATTCCCTCCTTGTAGCACACAAAGCAAGAGAAAGTAGAAAAAAAGCATAATAGGGAGAGACAGTAAACAGAGGTGTGAGACAAAGGAATAGTAGTAACGAAGAACAAGACAGTTTCATTGGAAATCATAAGTCACAATGAGAGGATGCATCTGCACTAGCCAGCCATTGAGAACGATGAGTTTGAGCCATATCACCAGTTGTTTCCAGCCTTCATTGGTGTTTACCGTCCCGAGAACCCCAACCGGTCAGGAAGTCTACACCTTCCTACGTGGCTGGTTGGCTTAAACTAACTGCTGTGGATTTCATTGACTGGTGAAGCAATCTTTTGGTTTGACCGCCAGTAGCTCTTTTTCAGCCTGATCCATCCTATGTCAGCTAACATTGCCCATTGTCGAGGAAGGCGATGACTAGGCGTGCGTAACACATGTCCTAACCATCTCAGTCGATGTAACTGCTTCACAGCCTCGTCGATTGATTCCCCCTCCCACCTACTTAACACTCGATCGATGCCTAACCTCAATATTGCTCATCTTATTATACCACTTCACATGGGAGATAGAATGCAAGTACTTATGATTGAAGACAGCTAATCTTTTCATGTCTTCTACTCTTAGCGGCCAGTTTTCACAGCCACAACGGATGATGGAGCGGACTACTGAGCAGTGCACCCACCCTTTAGTCGATAGCCGGATATCACGTTTATTAATCCAGAGACGGCGTAAACTGGCATATGCGAAGCTATCCCTCTGTATACGTACTGAGATTTCATCAGAGATCAACCCGTTGGCACTGACTGATGGTACTTCCCAAATAAGTGAGGCGGTCAACGTGCTGCACCAACCACTTCACTCCCTATTTCTAAGCTAGGGGCCAGTGTAGTCCAGTCAGTCTTTGTCTTCATCTTCATCTCTACTATCTTGCCTTCCTTCCACTGATGCAACTCCTCTGCTTGATAGCTCTTCACTTCCACTCCACTCTGTGTCCACTAAAAACGACGAAAGCCAAAAAACCACCACCGATAGTCTCCTAAAGCCACGCCACCAATTTCATATAGGAGCATTTAATGTTAGGACACTTTGAAAAATAGGACAACAAGCATCACTAGCCAAGACCCTGGCATCCCGAGCCATTGATGTATGTTTTGTTTCAGAAACACGCATACAAGACCCAAGTGTGGTTATTCACCTAACCCCACCTGGCCAACAGGTTGAATCTGCAAAATTCACCTTGAGGGTGTCAGGAGATGCCACAGCTAGTTCACGAGGATTAGCTGGTGTAGGGATAGCTTTGAGTACTAGGGCAGAAAAGACATTGCTTGACTGGATCCCGGTAGATAGCCGAATGTGTGCTGTCCGTCTGAACGGATCAGTAAAAAGGAGGAAGGACTGCACTACTCGCCGATGCCTTTTCGTAATCTCCGCCTACGCCCCCACTGACTGCAGTTCAGATGAAACGAAGGATGAGTTCTACCAAAAGCTGTCTAGTTTGGTGCGAAAGGCTAAACGCTCAGATATAGTCGTTCTAGCTGGTGACTTTAATGCTCAAGTAGGGAAATTGTGTCAATCTGAGAAGGATGTCGGTGGCACCTATGGAGTTCCGTGCCAGCGAACCGACAACGGTGACCGTCTCCTACAGTTCTGTTCAGATAATCATTTGTTTCTTGTAAGCACTAACTTCAAACACAAGGAGAGACACTGTTTGACTTGGAGACCCCCTTCATCAAACCAACGCTGGACACAAATAGACCACATAGCAATAAGCTATCGTTGGCGTGGGTCGGTAGGAGATTGTCGCTCCTTCTGGAACACGTGTGTAGATACCGATCACGCACTGGTCCGCGCTCGGGTGTGCTTACGACTGAACGGACGTAGGAAACAGCTGGCGGTAAAACCATCACGTCCCCAGCTCGATCAGGAAACTAAATCCCTATTTGAGGAAGAACTAGCTAAACACATATCTGTGTTCGACAGCTGTGCTCACCCTGAAGAAGCTTGGAAAAATATCCAGGCAGCCATAGATACAGCTGTAAAAGCTGTGAATAAGGTAAACCCAAAGGTGAGTAAAAACCACTGGATCTCCACCGCCTCATCCGAACTGATAGATGCTAGAAGACTTATTCCGGCGAGCTCCGAATTCAATGAGGAGCGAAAGCTGCACAGAAGGAAACTTACGAAAAGTCTCCGCAAGGACCGTGAACAGTGGTGGGTAACAAAGGCAAAAGAGATGGAAAAAGCATCGGCGATAGGCAACACTAGGCAACTCTTTAGACTCATCAGGGAAACGGGAGGGAGAAGGCAAATCATAAGTGAGACTATTTCTGAGAAAAATGACTCCTTAATTAGCTCTCAGGACAGACGCCTCGAACGTTGGAAAGAACACTTTGAGGAACAATTTAACCTGCCTACAGCCACACTGAACCTCCCTCCATCCAGCACACACCCGAATGGGATATAGACACAGGTCCTCCTTCCCTAACTGAGGTTACTAAAGCTGTCACCAATCTGAAACTAGGCAAAGCAGCGGGACCTGATGGAATGACTCCAGAGGTATTTAAGTACGGTGGAGACAGCTTACTGTCTGCATTAACTGAGGTACTAGGCAGCGTCTGGGAATCAGAAGAAGTCCCATCGGGTTGGTGTAAGTCACTGATTATCCCCATATACAAGAAGGGAGACAAGTCTTCCTGTGATAATCACAGAGGGATTAGCTTGACTAATATAGTATCTAAAGTCTTAGGCTCAATAATCATGCGTAGACTGAGTGGTGCTCGGGAGGCACAAACACGAGAGAGCCAGGCAGGCTTTAGACCAGGAAGAGGGTGTATTGATCATATCTTCACCCTCCGACAGATTCTAGAACATAGGCATTCCTACCGGCGTCCAACAGTCATTATATTTCTTGACCTAAAGGCAGCATTCGACTCTGTCGATCGGGAAGTTCTCTGGAGATGCTTGGCTGTAAAGGGAATTCCAAGAAAATATATTGCACTGATTAAGGCACTCTACTCGTACTCATACAGCCAGGTGAGGGCTTACGGCGAGCTGTCATCTGAACTGATGACGACCAGTGGTGTCCGTCAAGGATGCCCATTATCTCCTTTTCTATTCAACTTCATCATAGATGTGTTAATGGACTTAACCCTAGGTGACTTCAGCGACTCAGGAATTGACTTGCTACCGGGGAATAATCTCGTTGACTTGGAATATGCAGACGATATAGTCCTTCTAGGCGAAGACGCTGACGAAATGCAGAGTCTTCTAAACACCTTGAGCCGCAATCTACGAATGTTTGGCATGCGATTCGCTCCCGCCAAATGCAAGATGATGTTACAGGACTGGACTACATCGACGCCTAGTTTAAAAATAGGAAGTGAAGTGGTAGAGCACGTTGACCGCTTCACTTATTTGGGAAGTACCATCAGCCAGTGCCAACGGGTTGATCTCTGACGAAATCTCAGCACGAATACAGAGGGCTCGTTTCGCATTTGCCAGTTTACGCCGACTCTGGCGTAGACGAGATGTTCGACTATCGACCAAAGGGCGGGTGTACTGCTCATCAGTCCGCTCCGTCCTCCTTTATGGTTGTGAGACCTGGCCACTGAGAGTGGAAGACATGAAAAGACTAGCTGTCTTTGATCATAGGTGCCTGCGTTCTATTTCCCGTGTAAAGTGGCATAATAAGGTGAGCAACATTGAGGTTAGGCGTCGAGTTCTAGGTAAACAGGGGAAATCAATCGACGAAGTCGTGAAGTTACAAAGACTGAGATGGTTAGGACATGTGTTACGTATGCCTAGTCATCGCCTCCTTCGACGAGCAATGTTAGCGGATACAGGATCAGGCTGGAAAAGAGCTAGTGGAGGTCAAACCAAAACATGTCACCAGTCAATGAAATCTACAACAGTTAGTCTTAGCCATGTAGGAAGGTGTAGACTTCCTGATTGGGGTCCTCGGGACGGTAAAAACAAACGGTTGGAAACAATTAGTGACAGGGCTCAAAATCGTTCTCAGTGGCCAGTGCAGATGCATCCACTCCCTGTGACTTATGTTTTCCAATTAAACTATGTTGTTCTTCGTTACTACTCCTTTGCCTCACACCTCTGTTTACTGTCTCTATTATGCCTTTCTTGTACTTTCTTCTCTTGTTTTGTGTGCTACATGGAGTGTGGCGACTTGAACGGCCCCACATATGTGCAAAGTTCTATGTCGAAAACAAACAGACAGACAGACAGACAGAGACAGGACTATAGTGGGCATCTTGATTGGAGACTAGTAACTAATGTGATCTGTCTGGTCCTTTCTTTGGTGCAGAGTGAATTATATGAGTCAGGTGGCTCGCCATCACGGGGCACATGTTGATTTAATGATACTACATAGTTGGAGGCAATCAGCCAGAGGCAGCCTTGCCTAGACGTAGCTTTCGTGCATTGCATATCCTCATTCAAAAATTTCGGTGTAAAGATTGGATTTGTCGAAGCATTTTTGACTCTCTATTATTATGAAACTCCGCAATATGAATTTCTGGTAGAGTTTTGTAATTAATAATGAGAACAGTGTAACATTCCAGTGTCCTTCATACTGTCTGTGTCCCTTAATTTGTCGGCGTTTTCGGAATACTTCTATGTATGTATGTGTGTGTGTGTGTGTTTAAGATAGAGCTTGACAACTAAGGTTCCCCATTACTACCTTGTACGTAGTATCCTCATCTGTATAGATAGTTTGTCCTGCCGTATAGTCATGTGTAGGTTTCTCCTTGAAGAATCGACTGGATTGAGTAACTGTTGTTAACAAACTAAACTTTGGGACAGGTTCCCAATGCTCATCTGCAATGATGTACCGCCTAATCAGTAAAACTATTGAGCAATGTTCACACTCCATTATGGATAAGATTTTATTTTGATAAACTGTCACACACAGTGTAGTGTTATACAGCAATATTAACTGATCCGACCACACGCCATTTCGCGCAAAATTTATTATTATTGCCGCTCATAATCATATCAAGGCACTCACTCACTCACACAACTTTTTCCTTCATTTATTAGACATTTGAATACAAATCAGTAATATGGGGTAATGTACATTCAGAAATAATAATAATGAGTGTTACTGATCAATTACAATCAGAGTGTTTCTTTTATAGTCACAATAAGTGAGTAACTTGTTAGAATGTTGTGATGATGTACGTGAATTGAATTGAAATAGAATACAATTTAAGATTATTTATTATCCTCCTCAGATTCGACTGACTGCCTGACTGACTCGTGGTAATAATATCTTCCATGGATATTTGTGGTATTTGCATTGAGTCATTTCTGTTGCATGTGTTGTGTTGTGTGTAGACTCGATGAACCAGGCAGGATTCGGTAATCAATCTCTCTGTCTCCACCTACCCGGATTACTTATTATTTTAACCTTCCCCCACCATGCTATTGTGTGGTTGTGTGTTAGTGCATGCAGTGCAATATAGTTCTGAGCTGCCTTCCTAAATTACTTATCTTCTCGGGTGGGATCAGTCATTCTTACCTTAGCTAAATTCTTATGTTCTGACCATCTCACTACCCCGGATCTACTAGTTTGATGTATGTAGCTGACTTAACTCACAGTCATTGGTGGGTATTTTGTAAATTATATTATTTTGTCTAATTGGGTCAGCCGACAGGGTCCTTTAACCTACCTACGGACTTTCTCCTACCAGAGTGAGTTTGTAGGTTAGAATGCCACCACCAGCCTAATTCCTGCTTTGTTATTAAGAGTCCTACTTAGGGAGTGTCTCAGTTGTCCCCCTCCTTATATGGTATAACAGTAGATGATTTATATATTCTCTCTTATTTATGTTATTATTACTAGTTTCAAAATTATTTTTATTTTGCTTTTGGCCTTTTATGATCTCCCTAATGAATTTTATAGGATAGTTAGTTCTTTCATACCAACGCCTCTGTGATCTGTTTTATTTCATCATTTAGGTCTTTACTTGTGCTACTTAGTGCCACTGCTCGGTTTGTTAGACACTTAACTAAGCCTACAAACAGTGGGGGTGGCAATGAGTTCACCAATATCCCCTATCCTAGCAGATATATTTATGGACAGCTGGCATAATATTGCTCTAAATACAACATTTAATCCTACTCCAAAAATTTGGTGAAGATATGTGGATGATACTGTCACAGTGTTAAAAACAGAACATATCTCTCTCTAGCTTTTTGACCTATAAAAACTCACTAGTTGAGGGAATAAAATTCACATTTGAATCGGAAAATAAACAAGAAGAATTAACTGTGATGTTAGCTTGTAAAATAAAATGAACAGGAGAAGGTAAACTACACACTGGCGTTTATAAAAAACCAACGGATTCTGCTAATAGATATTTAGACCTCCTTAATTCATCTCATCCGTTAACTGTCTGTGAAGGCAGGCTCAGTTAAGCGAAGTGTCTAACAAACCGAGCAGTAGCACTAAGTAGCACAAGTAAAGACCTAAATGATGAAATAAAACAGATAGAAGAAGCTTTACAACACTCATATTATTAATATTTCTGAATATACATTATGTTATATTGATTTTGTTCAAATGTCTAATCATCAACTTCACTCATGTATATAAATTAAGGAAACAAGAAAGTTGTGTGAGTGAGTGAGTGACTTGATGTGATGACTATGAGCGGCAATAATAATAAATTGTGCTCGAAATGGCATGTGGTCGCATCAGTTAATATTACTTACTGTATAACAAACACTACACTACACTGTGTGTGTGACAGTTTATCAAAATAAAATCCTATCCATAATGGAGTTATGCTCTATCTACCACAGGGCCCAAGTTTTATACTTACAGAATTAAAACATTGTAAAATAATGTGGAATAGTTTCAGGATTTCATCGTGAGTTGACATTAGTTAGAGAACCATTGGAAAACCTGCATGGAGTAATTATCTCTGTTGGTATATCGATTGCCCTTGAATTGTAGTCATATTAAAAGTTGCTTCTTGTTAACGAAGAAATTAAGAGAATCAGTTCAAAGAACTTTCAGTGCTGGCGAACTACACATCTTATTCCCTACACGACCGATGGTGCTACCTCAACTGAAAGATGAAGTACCTAGACTAGCTAGCCACTTCTAATTGTATCTAACAATTCAACTGCAACTGTACTTGTAGTGGAACGAGTTATATTGGCCGTTATTCTAGGAACTTGATTTTTCGTGCTCACTCGAGAACATCTCCCACTATGGCTAAGTGAAGGTGTAGTGAAAACCATCATCAATAGTTTGACATTGGACCATGTGGTGCAAACCGGCCACAAATCCAGTCAACCAGAATTGAAGAATCCTTCTGTATGATCACCTGCCGGGTGCCATATAAATTGCCAAAATCATCGAAGCATCAAATGCTCCAAACACCAGAGGCTATTGCAATTCGCCTCAAACAACCAGTGCTCTGTGTTCAAAAGAAGCAAGTTCAGCTAGCTAGCCACTACTACTCACCTGGCTGGCTGGCTGGCCTACAGTAGAGACAAGAAATTCATGAATTTGTAATATTATCTTTCCTAATTCAACTGACATTCAGTGTGTATTGTTATGTTGATGCTATTGAACTGTAATCCACTGGTAGTATTATTAATATTGATTCGATGTTACTTAAACAGCAACATGAATTTTGTTGTTCATAACACTAATTCATGCGTTCATTCATTGACTATAATGGATGGATATATAACTGTAGAGCCTGATGATGATGATGAAGGGTTTATAGAAAAGAGTATTTATTCTTTGTTAAGTATGTATCCATTCTTTTGAAAACAATTTTAATGGGCATTTTCAATCAGACTAATATTCATTAATCTGTAAGCATATTTACAGGTATTTTCATTCAACTGTAAAATGAATATCATTGCTTTCATTATTTATTGTTTTAAACGCTTTTTTTTTGTATAGCCAAACTGTCGAACTTTTATTGCGCATATCCCAATTCCTAAATCCTACGCCAGTTTATCAACAGTTTGTGAATTGTTTCTTTGTGGACTCAACTCATCAGGTAAACAGCTTATATAAAAATGCTATATGCGCACTTAAAAGTTTTTTCATTAATTAGTTATTACGAGTTGATCACGGATTGATATTAGCTAGAGAACTATTGAAAACCAGCCACAGGGAGTACTGGACAGCCAGCTGTTTCATCCTAGTTCTGGGAGTTATTGGCAGAACACACCAAACATAGGGGTTTCGAACCAAGGACCTTCCACTCGCAAGGCAAACTCATATACCATTCAGCCACTCACCGGGATCCGATTCAATGGCTGGATGGTACACGAGTTTGCCTTGTCACCGGAAGGTCTTGGGTTCCAATCCGTTGTGGTGGGTGTGTACTGCCGATGATTCCCAAACTAGGCTGATGAAACAGCTGTCCAGTACTCCTAGCTGGTTTTCAGTGGTTCTCTAACTGATATCAATCCGTGATCAACTTGTTAAAATCATTCTATTTCACAGTTTTTCCTCATCAGCTAACTGCAAACTATCTGCGTTGGTGACACAGCGGTTAGGACTCTTCCCGATCATGCACATGGTCCGGAGTTCGATCGCCTGCCGCCGACGCACACGTGATATCTATGATCGGCCTGTAAAATTTGGGCTACCGATATCACATGCTGAAAATTCCATTATTATTATTATCATTATTATTATATCCTTTAATTCCTAGAGGAACATAGGGCTTCAGCCGCGCGTCTCCATTGCGTTCGGTTCTCAGCTAGAGTTTTCACTTGGCTCCACGCTTCTGTCCACATGCCTTCATCCCCTCTTCATATGACCTGTACCAAAAAATACAGTGTGGAATCAAGCTGTAATAAAAGAAAAACAAATTACAATGGTTATAAATAATAAAATTTCATACTTCAATGTTTCAAAGGTGATAGAGAAAACATTACAAGATGAAGGCATCCGGAACATAAGTATTAGAATTTTTGTTAGTTTAATTTACCATCAATTTATATACTATCAAACTATGAAAAAAAGGGGGAGGGGTGAGAGAAGACAGAAAATCGAGAAATCTAATAAACAGTGTTAGCTTGTACGTCAACATGGAAACTCAACAAGGTTAAAGTTCATCAAATTGAAAACTTGCTTATTGAGCTGAGCTCATTAGTGTGTATGACTAATCAGTGTAATGAAAGTGATGCGGTTACCAGGGGAGTAAGAGATTGATCACATTCTCTTTCTGTATGCATAAGTTTGGTCTGTGTGACGTTTGATTGCAATTACTTCAACAAAAATCGTAGTAGATTCGCTGTCCTTTGTATGTTTAATATTTTGAAGGATTTGGAAATCTCGACAAAATGACCCGTATCCACAGGTTGGGTGTCTGGTAATCGCACTTTGTAAATTTCTGCTTCCTTTTAAGCTTAAGTTTCTTGGAATATGCTCTGAAGACCGGATAAAAGCCCTTCTTTCTGTCCTTCAAGTGTATTTGCTGCCGCAGGTGCACGTAAATTTATAAATGCAGTTGGAGGTAACATCAGCAGGGTACTTATCCAGTTTCGATTGCCTTATAGAGCATGTAGTACTGTATAGTGTCACCAGATTGGCTGCAGGGAAGCATCTCTTTATTGCTCCCTTCATCCTCTTTTCAATCTTTTGCGATACAGTTTCTCCTTTGTATGAGAGGCAAGTGAACACTTTCTTCTTTTCAACTGTTGGATGCTTCTCTTTCTCATCTCTTTCTTTGCTGTACTTTAGCATAAATCCTTTTGGGTACCTGTTTTCTTAAAGAAAGCATTTTTCAACAAAGCTTAATTCTTCTTCTACCCTGTTAGGCAAACATAACTTCCTGGCCTTTTCGTACAGTGTCCTTGAGTTGCCATGTTGACGTACGAGTTAACACTTTATTGGATTTTTCTGTTTTCTGTCTTCCATTACGCCGCTTTTTTCTTTCATAATTTGACAGTATATAAATTGATGGTAACTTTAACTAAAAGTTGTATTACTTATATTCCGAATGCGTTCATCTTATAATGTATTCTCTATCACCTTTGAATCATTGAAGTATGAAATATTATTATTTATAACCATTGCAATTTCAAGTAGTTCACAGTTACCTGATGAGGAGAACCTGTGAAACAGAATGATGATAGCATTTTACACTGCAAATCTGGTCTTTCGATCTCTACCGAAGCTTATCGATTATTTAGCAGTTGCATGGAGGATTTCATCATGAGCTGACATCAGTTGGTTAGAGGACCATTGGAAAACCAGCTGGGATTACTGGACAGCTGTTTCGTCAGCCTAGTTTGGGACTCTTCAGCAGTACGCACCTACCACAATGGGTTCGAACTCAGGACTAGTTTCTGGTCACAAGGCCAGCGAGCGACCGACCTCGTAGACCATTGAGCCACTGGAACCCGATCCAATGACCAGCCAGTTCATGAATTCTAACTTCTGCCAATTCACAACGGTAGTCGTCTAACCGTTTGACTTCCACTTCAGCGATGCGTTAAAACCGTTCACTAGTTCTCCATTACGGATAAGATTTTATTTTGATAAATCACACAGTGTTGTACAATAATATTAACTGATGACGTTTCGAGCACAAACTATTGCTCATAGTCATATCAAGTTACTCACTCACACAACTTTTTTTCTTTCATTTATATACATGTGTGGAATTCATGATTAGACATTTGAATACAAATCAGTAATATAGGATAATGTACATTCAGAAATAATAATCATAATAATATGAGTGTTATGAGTGATCAGTTACAACAATCAGATGGGGAATAAGACGAGTGTTTTTCTTATAGTCATAATAAGTGAGTAACTTGTTAGAATGTTGTGATGATGTACGTGAATTGAATTGAAATAGAATACAATTTGAGATTATTTATTATCCTCCTGTGATTTCACTGACTGACTGACTGGTGGTAATAATATCTTCCATGCATATATCTGGTATTTGCATTGAGTCATTTCTGTTGCATGTGTTGTGTTGTGTTGTGTGTAGACTCGATGAACCAGTCAGGATTCAGTAATCAGTCTCTCTCTATCTTCACCTACCCAGATTACTTATTATTTTAACCTTCCCCCACCATGCTATTGTGTGGTTGTGTGTTAGTGCATGCAGTACAATATAGTTCTGAGCTGCCTTCCTAAATTACTTATCTTCTCGGGTGGGGTCAACCATTTTTACCTCAGCTAAATTCTTATGTTCTGACCATCTCACTACCCCGGATCTACTAGTTTGATGTATGTAGCTGACTTAACTCACAGTCATTGGTGGGTATTTTGTAAATTATATTATTTTGTCTAATTGGGTCGGTCAGCCGACAGGGTCCTTTAACCTACCTACGGACTTTCTCCTACCTGAGTGAGTTTGTAGGTTGGAATGCCAGCCTAATTCCTGCTGTATTCGGAATCGACTCAACGACTCAGGGACTGACTTGCTACCGGGGAATAATCTCGTTGACTTGGAATATGCAGACGATATAGTCCTTCTAGGCGAAGACGCTGACGAAATGCAGAGTCTTCTAAACACCTTGAGTCGCAATTTACGAATGTTTGGCATGCGATTCGCTCTCGCCAAATGCAAGATGATGTTACAGGACTGGACTACATCGACGCCTAGTCTAAAAATAGGAAGTGAAGTGGTAGAGCACGTTGACCGCTTTACTTATTTGGGAAGTACCATCAGCCTCAACGGGTTGATCTCTGACGAAATCTCAGCTCGAATATACGGGGCTCGTTTCGCATTTGTTAGTTTACGCCGACTCTGGCGTAGACGAGATGTTCGACTATCGACCAAAGGGCGGGTGTACTGCTCATCAGTCCGCTCCGTCCTCCTTTATGGTTGTGAGACCTGGCCACTGAGAGTGGAAGACATGAAAAGACTAGCTGTCTTTGATCATAGGTGCCTGGGTTCTATTTCCCGTGTAAAGTGGCATAATAAGGTGAGCAACATTGAGGTTAGGCGTAGAGTGCTAGGTAAAGAGGGGAAATCAATCGACGAAGTCGTGAAGCTACAAAGACTGAGATGGTTAGGACATGTGTTACGTATGCCAAGTCATCGCCTCCCTCGACGAGCAATGTTAGCGGATATAGGGTCAGGCTGGAAAAAAGCTAGCGGCGGTCAAACAAAAACATGTCACCAGTCAATGAAATCTACAACAGTTAGTCTAAGCCATGTAGGAAGGTGTAGACTTCCTGATTGGGGTCCTCGGGACAGTAAAAATCTATGGTTGGAAACAATTGGTGACATGGCTCAAACTCATCGTTCTCAGTGGCCAGTGCAGATGCATCCACTCCCTGTGACTTATGTTTTCCAATTAAACTATGTTGTTCTTCGTTACTACTATTCCTTTGCCTCACACCTCTGTTTACTGTCTCTATTATGCCTTTCTTGTACTTTCTTCTCTTGCTTCGCGTGCTACACGGAATGTGGCGACTTGAACTTCCGCACATTTGTGCAAAGTTCTATGTCGAAAACAGACAGACAGACAGTATTCGGAATCCCACGTAGAGTCCCAGATGTAGCCTCCTTAAGATGGTATAACAGTTGACATCTAATCGATTCCACACATGTATATAAATGAAGGAAACAAGAAAGTTGTGTGAGTGATTGAGTGACTTGATATGATTATGTATGAGTGGGAATAATAATAAATTGTGCTCGAAATGGCGTGTGGTGGGATCAGTTAATATTACTTACTGTATAACAAACACTACACTACACTGTGTGTGTGACAGTTTATCAAAATAAAATCTTATCTATAATGGAGTAGTTATACTCTACCACAGTGCCGTTCTCTAGTTATTCATACCAGCTCGTTTTTCCGCCTCTAACCGATATTATATGATTTTTTTGTTGTTGAAAAAGTAACTCTATCTGTCAGGCTGGATTTTAATAGCAACAAGTTCATCTTTTACTCCACACTAAAATGGGATCTCTTCTTCAACTGAGTTTCTACGATATGATGAGATGTAAGAATGTCCTGTTTTTATATTTTTGCTTCTGTTACTCTACTGGTTTTTTTTGTCTGTTTTGTTTATTAGTCGTTTTTGCATATCTTTCTGATAAAACCATGCTAATTCATTCCTTTTCATTACGTCACTTTTCACTTCCTCACAACTAACCAACTAGCTAAACTACCTTGTCTGGGAAGACGTGATAACTGTGACCAGGATTATCAATGGATTACATATAATCAGGTGAGTTGTTCTACTTCGGTGTTGTCATTTTCTTACATTTTTGTTGGTTTCATTAATAAATGTGTGTAAAACTTGGGCACTGTGGTGGTGGTGGTGGTGGTGGTAGTAAATAATTCCATATTAGTTTGTTTATTAGATGTATCACACAGTCAAACAGTGAAACAGTATTAGTACTTACTCGATGACACAGTTTCAAACAAAATTCATTATTGCTGTTCATAATCATTTCACCATCAATTATAATCACACGACTTCGAAACTCCAGTTTTATAGTTTTCTTTGTCTTCTCCTATTTGTCGTCGTCATTGGGGTAGTAGAATTTTCCAGATATCTGTGTGGACAGGTGTTGAATCATTCCTATTACGCATATTCCCCATCTCAGTTGATTCGATAAACAAAGCTTCTGTTGTTATCAATCTCTCGCTCCCCACACCCAGCTGTGATATTAGATTTTGAAACTGTCATCCTATCCCATCCAGTCTATTGTGTAGTTGTGTGTAATTGCATGTAGTGCCACTTTTGTTTCTGCCTGCCTTATTAAGAATTCTGCGTAAGGTGGTTTCTGAGGTCCCTTCCTTGTATGGAATTACTACTGATGATTAAGATTCCTTATTGATTGCTGTTCATATTCATTACACCATCAATTATAATCACACGACTTCGAAACTTGACTTTTATAGTTTTCTTTGTCTTCTCTTATTTGTTGTCGTCGTTCGGGTAGTTGAAGTTTGTTTAGGGGGTGTAGCTTGGTGTCCGGAATCTATCAGATGTTGCAAGATAGAGCTGTGGTGGTGGGGGGGCATCGTTTTCCTCCTTTGTAAAACCGTGTTGGTAAGTGTTCGGTGATACGTTTGGAAAGCGAACGCTGGCTGGTTATGGCTGACATATGGATGAAAACTCCTGTAAAGAACATGTGGGCTATTAATATAAACCCTTTTTTTACTAAACAATAAGGAATCTGATAACCTTCTCAGGTTTACTATTTAATTTTTACTCTGTTTATTTACAGGTGAATGATACAATCCGTGTTATACAGTCTTCTCTCCATGGACTTAATATTCAAGGCGTCAATGGTAACTACTTCGTAGGTATTTCATCCAAGAATTCTCCTGAAGTAAGTTGTTGTTTTCTTGCCTCACTTATTTTTGTTTTAGTGTAAAAACAGCCTTAAAGTATTATATCATACTGTCTGTCTGTCTAAACTTAAAGCTTCTTGTTTGTCACTAACTCTTTAAATGATATCACATGTATCACACAGCGCTTTATTATCATTATTATTTTATCCTTTAATTCCTAGAGAAACATAGGGCTTCAGCCGATCATGTCTCCATTGCGTTCGGTTTTCTGCCAACCTTTTGAACCCGCTCCAAGTCTGCCCACATGCTTTCACCTCCTCTTCAAATGACCTCCTCCAAGTCACCCTTGCACTGACGACCAACTCGCCGCTTTAGTGGCTTGTAAATATCTGTTTTATTTCATCATTTAGATCTTTACTGGTGCTACTTAGTGCTACTGCTCGGTTTGTTAGACACTTCGCTTAACTGAGCCTGCCTTCACAGACAGTTAACGGATGAGATGAATTAAGGAGGTCTAAATATCTATTAGCAGAATCTGTTGGTTTTTTATAAACGCCAGTGTGTAGTTTACCTTCTCCTGTTCATTTTATTTTACAAGCTAACATCACAGTTAATTCTTCTTGTTTATTTTCCGATTCAAATGTGAATTTTATTCCCTCTACTTGTGAGTTTATATGTACGTGTCAAGATGCTAGAGAAAGAGAGAGATGTTCTGTTTTTAACACTGTGAGTGAGTGTCATCCACATATTGATATAAGTATAAAACTTGGGCATTGTGGTGGTAGAGTATAACGTCATTATGAATAAGATTTTATTTTGATAAATCACAGTGTTGTACAGTAATATTGACTGATTACCACGTTTCGAGCACAAACTACTGCTCATAATCATAATTGATTAATAACACTCCTATAATTATTATTATTTCTGAATGTACATTATCCTATATTACTGATCTTATTCAAATGTCTAATCATCAATTCCACTCATGTATATAAACGAAGGAAACAAGAAAGTCGTGTGAGTGAGTGAGTGAGTGACTTGATGTGATGACTATGAGCGGCAATAATAATAAATTGTGCTCGAAATGGCATGTGGTCGCATCAGTTAATATTACTTACTGTATAACAAACACTACACTACACTGTGTGTGTGACAGTTTATCAAAATAAAATCCTATCCATAATGGAGTTATGCTCTATCTACCACAGGGCCCAAGTTTTATACTTACAGAATTAAAACATTGTAAAATAATGTGGAATAGTTTCAGGATTTCATCGTGAGTTGACATTAGTTAGAGAACCATTGGAAAACCTGCATGGAGTACTGGACAGCTGTTTCGCCCTAGTTTGGGACTCTTCATCAGTACGCACCCACCGCCATCATTCGAACCCAGGACCTTCCGGTTACAAGGCGAGCTAGCTCGTATACCATTAAGCCACTGGGACCCGATCCAATGGTTCTTGAATTCTAACTTCTGCCAATTCACGACATAGCGCAACCGCTAGCCAATGTCTTCGCTGGCGAGTATTTGTCCTCACACCCGACCAGCTGCACCCTACTGGTCACGACTTCCCACTGGAACCCCAGGTAACTACCTACCTGAATAGGGCCAGTCGCCAGTGAGCATCTCATTGGTATTCACCAGGTTTTCCAACGGTTCTCGAACTAATGTCAACTCTCGATGAAATCCTGAAACCAATCAAATCCCTACACAAACCAACACTTGAATGTGGAATAGTTTCAGGAAAACTACTAACACCCATCAACGAAAACAACTGTCTCCATGTACTTTTTTTTCGATCATGTCTTTTCAAGAGTCCCCTGGAGAATTACACACTTTCAAAAACAGTGTGGTTACTTTTCAAGTCTCGGGTTTTGTAGAGATTCTTTTGTTTGATTGCTGGTCGGTGGATTACATCATGAGCTGACATAAGTTGGTTAGAGAACCATTGGGTCAAGTGGTTTGGATCTCAGTGGCTGCTTAATAGTCTACGAGGTAGCTCACTTGCCTTATAACCAAAAGGACACGGGTGAGTACTGCTGAAAAGACGCAAACTAGGCTGACAAAACAGCTGCGAGTGTGATTATTACTATTATTAATAATTCGAAGATTTGTGCATACACAGGGAAATGTCCAACTGTTTAATTGTTCAATTTACAATAAGTTTCTTCAGGTATATGTATGTTTCGTTTGTTTGATTGTTTTCTTTTTTTTTTTTGCTTAGCACTAATGTTGTGACCGTCCTTTGTCACATGCTTTACTTAACAGTTGTCATGTTCAAAGAGGGCATGTGCTTAAGATGATGGTATATATAGAAAAAGTACAGAATTGTTTATTTTGTATGAAAGCTAGTCATTAGTATAGTTATGTGCATAGTTATATATTCCTATTGATAATTGTTTTAGTAAGTGAAATTTGACTCACTGTTGCTACACTTTATCTTGAGATGGTCTTGCCGACATCGACACTGTACAAAATAAACAGTTGTCAATTTAAAGAAATGTAGTGGAATACATACAATTCTTTGTTAACGCGATAATGTATGTGTAGTTTGCAGACACGTGATCAGTGTTCAACAATGTTTAATCGATTGATTTAATGATGCATGTATGTATGCAGTTTTCTTCATTATTCCCTTGAGTTCCCTTCCAGTGGAACATACGGCTGGCTGGCTGGCTGGCTTCAACAACACATCTCCACTTTTCTGTAGTGTGTTTTGCCGTCCTCTTCAACTTGCTAGCACCATGGTTGATCACAATCTTTTGTCTCGTCATCGTCATACGATCTCCTCCATGTCACCCTCGTATTGACGACCTACTCGTCTCAATGGATGGCCTGTATTTCGCCTCATGTCATGCAGCAGTCTGCTCGATGTATGCCTGATCTATCCCCGCAAAATTTCATCAAAAAGTGTTTTAATTAGAATCACAGCACACCAACAAGGAACCATTATCAAAGAACACAAGAAAATTCATCCTACTATATGTGAGAAAAATGCCTCTAAAATAACAGCTACAATATTGAAACCATTTGAAAAAGACATACCACACAAGCCAACCAGCCAGTCAAATCACTTAATTCGATATTGTGCAAACCGAAAGACGTATCCAACAGAAAAAAGAGATAAAACTAATACCATTGACAAAATAAATTGCATGTATGAATTGTGACGGTGGTCGAAGTGGGCGTCCCTAGGGTGTCGAATCAGAATCCAGGAACACAAATCAGTTGTGAAAAGACGTGACACATATATTCCTGTTTCATATCAATCAAGGCATACAGATAATTATGGACATCAGTTTGATAGCTGGATAATGTCGAACTTTTAGACAGAGGAAACACCACCAAAAGTGCAGTCAGGGAATTCCTAGAAGCCTGGTATTCAAGTGAATATGCAATTAACAAACACGTTAATATAGACCAAATATACGAACTAATAAAAAGTAGATCATGTAACGAGAAAGTTTTAAATCCAAGTCAATAATCAAAATGATCAATACATAGTCTAAAGATGGTTACCGGGAGACGCAATTCTATCACTCAAAAAAGAAAATTTAAATCAGTTCACTTTATGCTAAAAATTGTGAAGAAGAGGGATGTTGTCCAGCAGGGGGACGAGAAAAGCTCCGCAATTAAACCAACCAGCTCCTTAGAGAACACCATTAATTGCAAATCATTCACCTGAGCTACAAATATTCTCGTTACCTCTTCTTTCTGGCCATTTCATCTTCAGTATGGAACCAGCCAGTCAGCGAAGGGGCAGATGTTGATAAAATGTCTTTAGTAGGCTGTTGAAAATCCTCCTCGTAACTGACATGCAGTGCAAGCTTCTCACTTGTATGGAAAGACTAACTGACTGAATTCACTGATATTTGTGTTGGAAATCCGAATTTTGTTCTTTATGCGGAGGTGGAGTGAAGCAGAAGATTTTCAAACTGGTTTCAGGTTGATGAAGGCATATATCGCCTTTCTGATTGTGGCTGGCTGGCCGGCTGCCTTTGACATTCTCATCCGTTCAGATCGCCTGTAGTTGAAACGACGCTGGCTTCCTATATAAGTGACGGAGGCAGCCTCTGATAGATCTCTCCCGTTGGTGGTGATTAGTGCCGGTTGGTCGTCGTTGTTGTTGCTGTTACTGTTGGTTTGTTGTCTTCATCACCTCTGTCTTCTCTGTGTTCACCTGTAGTCCTGTTTTCGCTGCCTGACTCTTATGCCACTTTATTGGCTTTTGCTTTCCTTTAAGTCTTCAAGTTTGTTTGATATTAGACAGACATAAATCATCCACACACGAACTCCAGATCTTTTAGAGTCTTCTTGTCGGTGGTTCAACATATTCCCCAAACAGTCTGACGCATAATCCAGTCCACCATATCGCCTAGTTAACTAACTAGCTTACTAGTTTTCTAGCCGGTCCCAAGCCCGAGTAGAGAGGGGGAAGGTTGATCGTTAGGCTGGCGACCCTACACCACAAAAGAGCTATCAAACTGTTAGAGAAACTTCAACAAACAAAAAATATGTATTAAAAATACAAAAAATCCAAATACCAACAACAATCTTATTCTTCTCTCGAATCGGAGAGGCGAAACGACGCCGTGGACTAGTGAAAGCCTTCGGGAATCCAGTCAGCCAATGTTTATTCTTTCGATGGAAGCAGGAATAAGAATGAAGACATAGAATTTCAGTTGGTGGTTAAATTTGCATGTGAAACTTGTAAATTAAACTGTACACTTCTCACTTAAGTAATTAGTAAAGTACCACGCAGCAAAGGCTTCATTTTGAGTTGCATAAAAACAGGATGAAGCCGTTTTAAAAGAGAGTTTGATTACATCTTGTTCATGCAATCGAAGCTTTAGTCATCTGTTAGGAAAAATCTTGAAATTTGTGTTCAGAAATGCTGTATTCAGAATTTCGCTTTCCCACCATCACCTTAGTGTCAATTTCATTTCGTTGGAGAATTTCATCAATAGCTGACATCAGTTGGTTAGAGAACCATTGGAAAGCCTGCAGGGAGTACTGGACAGCCAGTTGTGTTTC